TGTGTGTGTCTTTCTTCCTCCTCTCCATCTCTCTCTCTCTCTCTCTCTCTCTTTCTCTCTCTCTCTCTCTCACACACACACACACACACACAATGTGTGTGTCTTTCTTCCTCCTCTCCATCTCTCTCTCTCTCTGTCTCCATTTCGTTTCTCCCTTCTCCCTTCTCCCTCCTTTCTCTCCCCCAGTCCTCTCTTTTTCTCTCTACCTCTGCATCTGTTGCTCCTGGCTAACCCTGTGGATGAAGAGAGGTACCCAGAGCATTATAGAACCCAGAATGCACTTCCAGCTTGGCCATCTCCTCTCTGAGTAGCCTTCATGCCTCTGGCTCGGCTTCCTTGCGCATAAATAAGATTGGGGCTCCACCCCGAGACTAAAGCTCTCTAAATTACTTGGTGGAGTCTCTGTCTCTGCCAAGCTGGTCCCTGACAGGCCCCAGAAGCCAGTTACTTGGATAGTTCCCAAATCAGATAGATGGCTTGCAGGAAAACTGGGAATCTATTGTACCCCAGAGCAGTCCAGCAGCCGCAATAGACATCGGTGCTTCTGGCTGCTTCCCACCAGCCAGCCCAGAGCAGAGGCTGGCCAGAGAAGCAGATGGATGTGTTGGACAGGCTAGCAAGACTCTAAACACAGCATGCGGGAAATACCCATGTCCCGTGGGGAAGAGGTCACTTAGTGGTGCAGTTGCAAAGTTGTTCAGACTTGGTTCTGAATGCTGCCCCTGCCACCCACACTGACCTTGGGCAGGTTCCCTGGCAGTATTACTAGTTCCTCCATCTACAACAGCTGTAAGGAGCAAGGTCCCCGGCCCACTAGCACCACAGGTTTTTGGAAATCCTAGCAAATGTCTGTAGCAGTTGTGATCGTGTGTCCTTCACGGCCAGGACTCTCGGGGGATCCGGCCTGGGCATCTCCCCATACCCGGGAAGCCCAGGCTCCAGGCCACCGTTCCTTCCATGCCAAGCAGCTTGGTTCTCAGATGCTCCAATTGGGATGTGATTAAATTTCTGATTGAGGAGCTTCAGCATCATGGTCAGAACAGGAGGAGGCAGTGTTTATCATCAGCTGCTCAGAGCCAACCTGCCCTTTCCAAGGTCTCCCCAACTCTTTCATCTGCCCCCCTGTCTTTGGGCCTCGGCCAGAAGAGGGAAACGAAGTCCTCCCCCTCTCCCCAATCCAGAGAGAAGGTGCTGCGAAGCAGGAAGAGCACCATTGCCCTGCCCACCTAGGGGGACTGTAGCCCCCGTCCTGGAAGCCGAAGCCTTGCTCGCTCAGGCAGGTCTGCTTTCTTGGCGAAGTGGACTGGCAACTCAGGGCAGTCTCTTTCCCCATCCTTTGTTCAGACAGATCACAAGTGCCCTGCTGGGAAGGGCGATTAAGTAGCACTAAGTGTATTTTTCCAGTGTGCACCTGGTAGAAAGAAAATAAAACAAAATCAAGGAGGCCAAGGATTAAACTGTCTTTTTTTTTCTCTCTCTCTCTCTCTCTCCCTCTCTCTCTCCCCTCAAGGGGCGAGGGGGATCACATGACTGCGAGTAACTGATTTAGCCAAGTGGCTGCAACTCCAGAGTTTGCTGCAGAGCCGCCCCCTCCCGGCGGGAGCGCTGACGTCACGGAAAAGCCCCGTCGCGGGGACGCCGAGCACTATAAAGGGCTGCCAGCAGCGGTGGCTTTGGGAGGCAGCACTGCCAGCGGATACCACACAGCCGCGGGTTGCGGAGCCAGCATCGCAGGCATCAGGCATTGCAGCAGGCATTGTGCCGACAGACGGCAGACGTCCACCCAGCGGCCGGGTACAACCAAGTAAGAGGGCATCGCCGAGCGGCAGTCCCCGGTAGGAGTCGCGGTGGGGAGGGGCGTGCCTGGTCTCTGAACTTTTTAAGTTGGGAAGGGAGCCCCTCGGCTGTGAGGTCTGTCCTGGGGGTTCTGCCATGGGAGAAAGAAGTTCAGGTGCAAAGGATGCGCTTCTCATGGGGGTTCCTTAATTCAGTTTTCAGAGAAGTGTCACCTTACCGAGTAGGTGGCCAGGCGCCCAATTCGCCAGCCCAGAAACCGTTAAAAAGAAACCCGCTAGTTCTGGCTAGTGGCTTAGGAGTTGCGGTGTGGAGCAGGGTGTGCAAGCTCTGTGCGAGCTTCGCGCTCACGCGGGGCACTTGCTGAGTTAACCGTGGATGCTTCTGCGTTCTCCCGGGTAGTCTTGGTGGAACAGACTGCCCTGACAGGTGAGGAAATCTTGCAAGGAGAAAGTTGTAGGAAGTCGTTGAGTGTCTCTTCGCTGAGTCTTTGACCTTCTTTACTTCAAGAAGGTGAAACTAATTAAATAGATGAGCTAATTAAATAGATCTTGGAGTGGGCGAGGTTCGTTAAGAGTGAAGCACTTTCTGTGTAAGTTTGATGTGTCCAAATGTGAGCAGGTCCTACCCGAGTCAGAAGGGTGAAGCTCAGGGCTAGTATGCTAAACAGTATCCATGAGCAAGGGGGCAGAGGTAAAGCTTAAACCTCAAACAGAGGCACCCCACTCCCCAAATAATGTTCTCTTCAGGCAGCTGTAGAACATCAGGGCAACTTTACTAAACATGGAAGTTCCCCCAAAGTGCCTGTCCAGCTCAGCCAGGGGAGTGATGTCATTGCCACGTGTTCCCCACTGAGGCACAAAAGCCTGCAAGACGCTGGTGCGATTAAGAGCCATGTTTAGACAAGAGCAGCTAACCCTGGCCAGCTGGTCCCCACTGCGCAGACTTGTTGCCGATGGTAAAGCCATTTCTGGAGGCAGTGGGTTCTTCCAGCTGCCTCTGCGCCAGCTCCCAGTGGGATTTTCAAAGTTACTTTAAGGATGAAGGAAGCTTATGGGCAGTTGGTGATGCTATTGGAACCGCAAATGACAGCCTGCTTGAGAAACCAGTCTCTCTCTCTCTCTCTCTCTCTCTCTCTCTCTCTCTCTCTCTCTCAAAATTTTGCTTGCTAAGTAGGGCCTTGGTAACTGTTTCATTGGTGTTCCTTATAGTAAGAATGCTTAATTCTTACCCATCAAATGAAATACCACCGACGAGGACCGTGTTTGCACCCCCTTGGGCCTAGTTCATCCTTGCTAATATTGGCATCTTGTCTGCTTGGCTTCCCAGGACCCCACTATGACTCTGAATAATGTCACCATGCGCCAGGGCACTGTGGGCATGCAGCCACAGCAGCGCTGGAGCATCCCTGCTGACGGCAGGCATCTGATGGTCCAGAAGGATCCCCACCCTTGCAACCTCCGCAACGGCCACTGCACTGCTCCTGAAGACCACTGCCGGCAAAGCTGGTCCTCCGACTCCACGGACTCCGTCATCTCCTCTGAGTCGGGGAACACCTACTACCGAGTGGTGCTTATAGGCGAGCACGGGGTGGGCAAGTCTACATTGGCCAACATCTTTGCAGGTGTGCATGACAACATGGACAGCGACTGTGAGGTCCTGGGAGGTAGGTGGCCCAGCCCTGGTGGACTTCTGTCTTGTAGGCTGGAAGAGCAAGAGTGCTCGGGTCATTTTCTCTGCGGAATTGGAAGCCAGGCATGATGATATGTGCTTGGTGATCCCAGCTCTGGGAAGGTGGAGGCCATCCTCAGCTATGTAGTGAGTCTGAGGCTAGCCTGGGCTACGTGTCGCTGCCTCAAAAAATAATAAATCAAAACAAAATGTATCTTCAGAATTAGGAGGAAATCTTTTTGATACCGAGATGGGTGGCCGAGGTCAAACCCCAGTCCTTACAAAGGCCCTCAGGACAAAAAAAGAAAGAAGAAAAAAGAAAAGAGAAGAACACGTGTACACAGCACCAGAATCTATTGCCCCGAGCCATCAGGGGGCTTTCTAAGGTCAAGTCTGAGGGGTCCAGGGAGGCTGAATCTGGCCTGGATAATTTTTGAAGAGGTGATCAGCCCAGACACTTTTTTTTATGATTGTGCATAAAACCAAACTGATTTTGGGGAAGCACAAAACCCTGTTAGAGCGCATCATTTGGCTGCATCCACTGATACCAGAGGAATTTACAAGGGTAGCGAGGTCCAATGCTATACTTGAAGTAACATGATAATTTAAAAAATCAAACTATAGCCGGGCGGTGGTGGCGCACGCCTTTAATCCCAGTACTCGGGAGGCTGAGGCAGAGGCAGGCGGATCTCTGGGAGTTCGAGGCCAGCCTGGTCTACAAGAGCTAGTTCCAGGACAGGCTCCAAAGCCACAGAAAAACCCTGTCTTGAAACCCCCCCCCAAAAAAATCAAACTATAAAAATGATGATAAATGCCCTGTGTAGAGTCTGGCAGGGTTTCCACATGGGTTTCTCCATATGGTCTTATTTCAAATATTTATTTATTCAGTCCTTACCTAATTCTAGACCTAGTTCATTAAGACATATATTATAGCACCACAGGTGATAGCTTTACATTCTGGGGTAGACATTACAACTCTAATGATCAGTTATTTCCACGCAGCGCCCTTCAGCTAGAGCCCCAACATCGGCACACAAGCCCAGAGCAGCGGCATACCCCATTTACAGTGTAGAGATGGAGGAAGGCGTGCTCAGTGTTTGCACGCTTCACATGGTCTGTCTCCACTTTCAATCCACTGAACCCCTCACGGCAGACTTTGGGGTGAGGGGAGTAAGGATGGGAAAGATGGCTTCTGTGACTCGTTTCTCTCTACCCAACTTGTGTAAACCCTGGCCCTCACTACCATGGCCCACGTCATTCTCCTCAGCTGTCTTCCAGTCAGGAAGTCCATTGCTTCAAGAGGCAGCTCAGGGACCCACCAGGAAGGATGACTCGCTGACACAGTACCCATTTCTCTCCTCACTCTGGAATCTGGGGGGACTAAGCGAGAGTCAGGGGAGACACAGGGCAGGTGTGCAGCTGCTTCGCTCTTAGTGTAGACTGGTGGGTGCCAGAAGACAGCAGAAGAGGGGGCGCTGGTGCCAGAGTGGGCGTTGGCGGTGGAGGGGGCGCTCTGCGGAGTGCCTCCTGTTGGCTGTTGTCTACCTAGGCCTATCATGGTGTCTGCCTGTGCGTGAATGGGGTCTGGGAGGGAATGAGAGGCGGAGTGGCAGATGGAGAATCACCCCTTTGGGGAAGCTGCGTGTGGAGGCTGGGTTGGCGCTCTTTCACTCACTCCACCATGCATGGGGTCCATGCTATGTGTTGGCACCGTGTTAGGCCTTTCGTGTGTGCTTTTGGCAATGTGTACACGGATAGATGCAATACAATGCGACTGCCCCCACTTTCAAGGTGTTGGGGTGGAGGCTGACAGAGTCAAGTGACTTCCTTCACTGTCCTCTGCAGGCCTAGGACTTAACTTCCCGGTGCTGATAAGCACACAGCACGTGGGTACCCAGTGATGGCCGACTGTTAGAGTTCAGTGCCAGTGGCCTTGACTTACAGCATGGTGCATTAGAAGCACCAGGAAAGCAACAGTAAATTGCTCTGAGGGCTGGTAGGGCTGGTGTATGGAAGGGATTGGCTAGGTGGTGGTGTTTTATTTGTGTAAAGAGGGAGGAGTTGAAAAGTTAGTGGATAACAGGCTTCTAGAAGTGTTTGCCTATTCGGAGGGGCGGTGTCAGTGCAGAGGGTAATAGCCAATAAGCATAGAGGGATTGCCTGATTGATCTGCAGCTGGTTTCGTTGGAGAGCGAGGGGCTGGGGCTCTTCCTTAACTGCCTGCTCACCTGAGCCTCTGATAAAGAGAAGCTTCTCAGTGAGGGACACGCTCAGTCCTCTTAATTCTATTCCTTTGATTTAGAAGTGGACCCTCATTCTCACGGACTCGTTAGCTTTGTGTTTCCCCAGAGGAAGGGTTTCCGGGGTATGCCCGTGCATTGCTTTCCTCTTTCCAGCATTAACCGGGGTGCGCATGCTGGTCTCCCCACATTTCTCCTAATAAAGATGGCTGTTATTCCAGACTACTGCAATGGTCCATGGTTCTCTGTGCATAGTTATTTCACCTGTGCATCCCCCCCCCCCCCCCCCCCCCCCCCCCCCCCCCCCCCCCCCCCNCCCTGCCCCCCCCCCCCCCCCCCCCGTCCATCCATCCATTGGCTCCTTCACTTTGAGACAGTTCCTTAGCACGAACCACAGTACTTGATGAGGCGCGGTGGGGGTGCAGACCCCTGGAGCTTCCTCTTGGCAGTGCCTTACAATGTGCCGTGGAGGTCAGACACACACACCAACCGGAAAGCAAGCTGGGATGGGACAGCATTCTGAGTTACAAGGATAAAGTGGAATTCAGGGGGTCAGAAAAGGCTTGGTGGAAGAGGCCATCTCTGGGCTGGCCTTAAAGACAGCTAGGCTAAGAGATGGTGCTCACGCGTACACGAGCAGTCTGGCAAAGAGCTCTGGGTTTGAAATGTAAGGCGCAGGTTTAGAATCTTCCACCCCGAGGTGATTCAGGCTGTAGCTATGTGCCCTTGGCTCAGCCTCTTCACCCTAGGAAGCTTCCTCACATGTATAATTGGGGAGACACTTCCTAGGGTGGTCTGGGGACCAAGGGAGAGAGCAGTAAGTGTGTGGCACAGTGTGGGCCTGTGGTGCACACAGAATAAACACTGTTTACTGTCGACTCTGCATCTCCATCTCTGTTTCTGTCAGAAAACTGAGCCTTGGGCAACTTACATCGTTTAGAGCCACGTGGGAAAGGAAGGGCAGCTCTCAGATTTGAATTCAGGTTTGTGTGTGCCCCGAGCCGCAATGCTATGGCGTTTGCTGCTTATCCATTCAGTGCTCAGGTTTATACTGAGCATATACAAAGGGTCAAGCACATTGTGGGCACGGGGCGAAGGGAGCCACAGAAGGCAAAGCAGCTATAAATCTCTGTCCTAGGGAGACAACTGGGCAGGGGGCTAGCACAGTGCAGGAAGTAACTGGCATGTGTTACATGCTAGGTGAGATGCTAGGCTGCAAAGATGCATAGATCAGGGAAAGAAGTGCAGAGTTCTGGTGCGATTTTAAAGGCACATTCAGAAAACACCCGGTTAACAGGGACAGGGACAAGCCTCGCTCGGACTTAAAGGGGAAGAGCCAGGCACAAGGACCAAAAGAGATACATTGTCATGAAAGTTACAGTTTTCAGAAGTTGCAATTAAAAGCAGGAAACCCAGAGTAGGCACCTGGTAGTTGTGCCGGGTTGATGGGAAAACCTCTCAGAAAAATTCCAGGCCAGCCTGCCCTTCCAACCCCTGACAGGGTTTTTCCAGATGGAACTCCTCTGGCCCTCGACTGCTCTTACCCTTCACCTACTGCTAATCTTGGCCCAAGTTCAGAGGGAAAGTGTCCATGACCAAGAGAAGTTGCCTTTGACAGGAAAACACAAGCTGTGTTGTGTATTTGTTTTCAAAGACGGAGAAGCCAGGCGTGAGGTCACATTCCTGTAATCCCAGCACCTACGGGGCAGCTTCCAGGCCAGCCTGTGAGTTCCAGGCTGACCAGGGCTACCGGTGAGAACCCATCTCACCCCAGTCTCACGCAACAAAACAAAGGGGCAGCAGGTGGAAGAAGATAAATGACGAGCCAACTAGGGACACCTCAGAATATTTGCTCTTGTGTGTCTGCAAAGAGGAGAGACATGGCTAAGCTTCGAGCCCCTGAACTTTCCACTGAGTAAATGGTCAGGGACCACCCACTGGTGCTCACAGTGGATTTTCCATGAGGCCCATGGAAACAGAGCTTATAGTTAAAATGTCCCACGACGGAGCTTACCGTTAATGCTTCCTCTGGGCTTCGTCCCTTGAATTGGGGTCAAAAGTTCTTTGGGAGTTTATTTATCCCTATAAATGGTTTTCCTCCAAAGAGGCTCAAGAATGATGGGAATAAGTTCCCTTTAATTCAAGTGATTTAGCCATCCACATATAAAACTGTGGAAGATGTCTTAGTAGGACTGGAGGACTGTGTGCCGCATGCTGAAGGAGAGCAGTAGTGTGTGTGTGTGTGTGTGCAGATACACAGAGAAGTCAGAGACTGAGCCAACTTCCTAGCCCTTACAATAGTCATCTGTTAATTTTTTCGCAAATGTTTGTATATTTACATAATTTGTTGTATATGTACTAAGTACATTCTCTGTCTCTGTCTGTCTGTCTGTCTCCCTCAGTGTGTATGCGTGTGCATAAGATATACATGTTCTTGTGAGAGCACGTATGTGTGTATATGTGTGCATGTGCACACGGATGCAAGAAGTCATTCTCAGGGGCTGTTCTTCCAGAACCATCCGTGTTGTTTTGTGAGAGAGAACCTCTGGGTTTGGAGAGACTTGAGCTGGCTAGGCTGGCTGGCCAGTGAACCCTAGGGACATGCCTATGGGTACGCCTGTTTCTGCGCCTGCCCCCAAAGCAAGGGTTACAAGTGCTTGTCACCTTGCTGGGCTTTCATGTGGATTCTGAGGAGAGAACTCAGTTCCCGTGCTTGCAAAGTGAGCACGGTGCTAACTGAGAGCTGTCTCCTCAGCGCTCACGGAGCGTATTTTCTAGTGTGAATCTGACAGGAGCCTTTTATGCCTGACTCTGATAGCAATGTCCTTTCTCTTCTAGAGGACACATATGAGCGCACCCTGGTCGTTGATGGAGAGAGCGCAACAATTATTCTCCTGGACATGTGGGAAAATAAGGTATGCATGACCCGCCGCTGTGGGTGTGTTCTTTTAGGGCTTGCTTTTTGACAGGCTGCTTTGTGCCAGGGTGACCTTGTCCCACACAGTGGATGCTCCAGAGGAGGTGGGCTCATCTGCTTGATTAGCATTTACTTCTGGAGAGCAAGAGCGTGCGGAGGAACAGGTCGTCCACAGACGAGCCCTAAAGAACAAACAAATTGCAGCAGCTTGCCCTGAGTTCTGTTAAAAACCACAAGAAGCGTATTTGTTTTAGGAAAAGTTCAAGCGAGCATGGCCACTCATTTCCAATGACACAAAACCACTTTGTGTGAAGCTGGCCTTCCCAAAGCTGCACGCCAGCATGGCTTTGGGCAGGCTTTGGACCTCCCAGCACATACACAAGGTCATTTGTTGGTTGAGAACCCTCCTGTTCTCACCAAAGAATTCTTAATTCTACCCTCTGGGGAAGACAAAAGGAAGCTCATAGGAAGTCGGGAAAGGCCTATTTTTGGCAGGTTAGATGGAAATTGGAAACACTGTTTGTCAAAGATGTTTGTATGCATCATCAGACCAGCTCAAGCTGCAGTAATTGGGAAGGAAGTTTTTTGGTACAGAAACGATACAGACTTTCTTTTCGTCCCTAGACATCTTGGAAGACCAGAGCATTCTGAGGGGTGGGAAGTAGTTTTCTTCCTCTCTCTTACTTGGGGAAGATATACAGTTTCTTTGCAACAGTGACATCTCGATTTTCAGGCTGGCCTGAGCTCACGGCAGGTCTTCTTGCTTCTCTAGGGGGAGAGCGAATGGCTCCAGGACCACTGCATGCAGGTTGGGGACGTCTACCTGATTGTCTACTCTATCACAGACCGAGCAAGCTTTGAGAAGGCCTCCGAGCTAAGGATCCAGCTCCGCAGAGCCCGGCAGACAGAGGACATCCCTATCATTTTGGTTGGCAACAAAAGTGACTTAGTGCGGTGCCGAGAAGTGTCTGTGTCAGGTGAGGCCCTGGGCACCGCCCTTGTACCACACACACTGGCCTGCAGGCAGGTTCCCTTCCCCTCCCCCTGCGAGGCTGCAACCAGGGGCGCAGTGGGGTGCTCCGTGGAGTTTCTTGTCTAAGATGCCCATGGTTCTCATCCTTTGTATTAGTCTCTGTCTCTTATTCTCCTTATCCTGGTCTTCCTGCAGGGTTCCAGGTTCTCCCCACTGACCTTCTTTTGGGAAGAGAGCATCCTCAGGAATTTACTGGCAGTCTTAACCTTTGCCCCACGTCCTTCTGTTCTCCAAGCAGATTTCAAGTTCAAGGGAGGAAACGTGGTTTAGTAATGCAGGGGTGGGGAGCTCTGGCTTGGGAGGCAAACAAAACAGCAATTATCCTCGGGTTGTTTATGTCCATCTAGTATTCTGGTCCCCAGCCTCTCCTTCTAAGCTTCTGGGAGGGCATCAGACTGATGGAACCACACCTGCTTCTTCATCCTTGGTTCAAAGGATAATTCCTGTTTGACGAGTGTGCCTCGTATTTTTTTTTTAGGACCCTCAAGATTGTTTGTATTGGTTTCGTGTAGATTTAGTAGGACCATAAAAATAAAGCGTGGCATTTTTAGTCCCCGCTCAGTCAAGACAATCTCTCCAAGCAGTTGGGCTGTCTTGTAGGACACACAGTTTCAGTGTTTATTTCTTTTCAAACTAAAACTTGGACACATAGTTATTAAACCCAGTGGAGTTTCAGAAAAGCTTGAATAGAATAGTTTGATGTAACCATATTATATATTTATAAAGCCATCATTTTTCCTCAAAAGATCTCATCTCATCATACTTTTTTATCTTTTTAAAGAGAGGAAAGCTAAGTAGCAGAATTCGAATTACAGGTTTTGGGGAAGGAAACGGAGTCAGGAGAAAGTGTATGAGTTTGGGCGTGGAGCAGGACTGGGTTTGCTGTCTCTGTCAGCTGCCCGAGTTCTTGCATGTTTTTAAAACACCTCAGCCAGTTTCTCCACCTAGCTGATGAGAGAGGCTGTGTGCCCTGCTGCCTCCCTCCTCCTATAAGGTAGTCTGCGGCCCAATGTTACCCTAGTGCAGTTTTGGAGACGTGTCCTCCAGCGCGGCCACGTGGTGCAGGATCGTACTCTGTGGCCCCTCTGACTTCCTTCTCCCCTCCTCCTTTTCCAGAAGGGAGAGCCTGCGCGGTGGTGTTCGACTGCAAGTTCATTGAGACCTCTGCGGCTGTGCAGCACAACGTGAAGGAGCTGTTTGAGGGCATCGTGCGGCAGGTCCGCCTGCGCCGGGACAGCAAGGAGAAGAACGAGAGGCGGCTGGCCTACCAGAAGAGGCGGGAGAGCCTCCCCAGGAAAGCCAGGCGCTTCTGGGGCAAGATTGTGGCCAAGAACAACAAGAACATGGCCTTCAAGCTCAAGTCGAAATCCTGCCATGACCTCTCTGTGCTCTAGGTACCCCGCGTCACCCAGATGTCCCCCACGGGACATCGTTGAAGGCCTTTGGGACCAGTGATCTATATTAGATTGACTACATAAGCATTGTTTGAGATGGCTTCCCCGATTGCAGATGGGAATCGACAGGTTAGCCTCATGGGCAGCCACGCGCACGGGCAGGGAATCTTTGTCAAGAGTCAGTATTCTTAGAACAGCTTGGCCTGCTACACGGACACCTGGGACTCGTTTAGGGCATGTCTGGGGTTCACATGAGCTTTTATTCCCTCTTCTAAGGGAAGCAGAATATCGAAACTTACCCAGAATGCCTAGAACAGGCGTGTCTCATCATCGAAGTTTCGCCCAGTTTTGCTCTCTGTGAATCTGATGCCCTTGAGTCCTACAGAAACCTAGGGAAAGGGTGAGAGCTTGTGGGAAGGGGGGCTTTTCTGCACACGTGTCTCCCTGCAGGGGCAGAGCAGAACTGTCCCCTTCATGGCTGTGAAGGGAAGCAGCGCTGGAGTTGGCTGGGTGGAGACGGACGTGTACTGACAGGGTTTGTTTAGAGACCACAGAGATTTGTAGTCTTTGGAGCTGATCCGTTTAGCACTTAGAGGTTCAAAAAACTGTTTACTTATGTGTCTTAAACAATTGTTTATTTTGAGGAAATCATTTTCACCAAACTCTACCTAGTCAAATCTTCTTTTTCGCTTTGTTGTTTTTTGAAATCATGGAGCTATCATAAAAGTGTTTTTTTAAAAAATCTCAGCTAATTGACAGCCTGGAGTGCAGAGTGATTGCTCTTTAAATATGGTCAACAACTGTTTTCCCAAAGCATATAGCAAGGCCCCAGCCCTGTACGCCGCAGCTGTGTTCTATTTATTATTATTTTGCAAATAGCCATTTTAACATTTGATAAAGCATATTTATGAACATATTTCTTACTGAGAAAAAGTCTGTTTTATTACCTTTTTTATCTTTTTCAAAATATGCGAGTTTTTACCTATATGTCTTATAATAAAATAAATAAAATCTTTGAAAAGGAAGGCATTCTGTTTTCCTCTCCGAATGAGCTCAGTACGATTATTTTCTGTGGCTTCTAGAGCAAGCTGCATTGCTGGGAGATGGACGGAGACACTGCTTCTCCTGTCGTTAGTGGTGGCTCAGTCCGCAGCTGTTTCTTCTTTATTTTGTGGAACCCCTGACTCCTGTCCTTTGGAATCATGGTCCGCATTAAAGAAGAGGTATTTTTGGCTGATTGAGCTGGGAAGTATTGGGGTCATAGAAAGCTGAGCTATAATCAAAGCCGATTGGCCTGTGGGCTTTTGCTTTGGGTCTGGCCAATTCCTGATGGAACAGATGGGTCCGGCATTGTCCCTGAGGGCTCACAGTCTTAGGCAGTGCTCAGACATTGGGGGGATTTAAAGCTCTCTCTGTCTCTCTGTCTCTCTCTGTGTCTCTGTCTCTCTCTGTCTGTTTCTGTCTCTCTCTGTGTGTGTTAGCTGAGGGCAGCGGACACTGATGATTTCCAGTCTGAGATCTCGCCAGGCAGAGTTTAAATTGTTTGCCCTCTCTGCCAATAACATGTCTCGGCCTGACTCCCAGGACACCTCTGCAAGGGCCGCATGTGTCTCCTGTTAGAACAGAACCTGCTGGTGTTCCTCTGCTGACTCCTCCTAGACCCTCCTTCCCTGTCACCCCACTATTTCTTTTTGAGGTTGTAGACACCCCAATAGTGTCACACCCATGGGATCTCCTGAATCATCTCAAACTTCTGTAGTTTCCAAAGGCGTTCCAAGTTTTGTTTGGAATTTCTTTTCCAAGTTGAGGGCAAGCGTTCCACATCTGTCCACTTTATATCTATGAATTGCTCAAGAAATTGCACAGGGAACTGATAGGAAAGAATCAGGTTGCGCGGGCCTGGGATGAACTTTGGCCCTACTCTGAGTCAGAGTGTCTCTGGATTGACAAATGTTTCTAGTTTTCCCATCTGCTAAAAGGACTCGCTAACAATACCTTCTTCGTGAGGTGGCTGGGAGAGTCACGTTTGTTTCTGCTGTGCTGTGAGGAGCTTGAGAAATGCGAGTTCTGCCACTCGTTGCTGTGTATCCTTCTGTGAAGCTTAGAACTGGCTTCTGATCCGTCTCTCCCAGTTCAGATGGAAACTCGTTCCAGTCCGAGATTGCCATGCCTTTCCCTTCCCCTCGTGTGGGCTGGGACTTTCATGGGTAGTTTCTTCTTGAATTTCATAGGTCTTTGGTGGCTCCACGAGGGAGGCGGAATTACTCACAGCACACACACACACACCAAGCACACATTGCCTACTATACATGCTGTGAACACAGCATACATACCAGGAATGCAAACTACACACACACACATACACACACACCACATACACACACACTACAATCTATGCATTTACACACTGCACACATGGCACACACTACGTCTATCCATTTACACACTGCACACATGCCACATATACACATACATACATTATATCTATGTATTTACAAACTGCACGCACACACACACTACATCTCTGTATTTTCATACTAATTTTTCTCTGTTTTAAAACTCAGCTTTTGCCCAGCAGAGTGGTGGTTCACACCTTTAATCCCAGCACTCGGGAGGCAGAGGCAGGCAGACCTCTGAGTTCCAGGACAGCCAGAACTAAACAGATAAATCCTGTTTTGTAAAACAAAACCAAACAACAACAACAAAGGCAACTAGCAAACCCCTCTTTCCCCTCAGTGGTAGAATCTGACAGACCTTTGAGACAGAGCGCTGCTCAGCACTGTCAGCAGGCTCAGAGCTGGACCTAGGCTGGAGATCCAGACTATTCCATGGGCTTTTGGTTGAGAGCTTTGGCTCTAGAGCCAGACAGACCTCGGCTTTGGCACACTACGGGACACTGAGAGTGACCCTCTTGATTCTCTCCCAGCCTCGTTTTCCTATCTGTACTACCAGGAGAACAAATGCCTTGTGGGATTTGATGAGCCCCTTGCTACCTCCTGGGAGAGCCTTGAGCCCTCCCTGTGGTGCATAGGCTCCTCCTCCCCCCAGGCTCCCTCCCTGTGGCCAGCATAGGCTCCTCCTCCCCCCAGGCTCCCTCCCTGGGGTGCAGCATAGGCTCCTCCTCCCCCCCAGGCTCCCTTCCTGTGGCCAGCATAGGCTCCTCCTCCCCCCAGGCTCCCTCCCTGTGGTCAGCATAGGCTCCTCCTCCCCCCAGGCTCCCTCCCTGGGGTGCAGCATAGGCTCCTCCTCTCCTCAGGCTCCCTCTTTCCTTATCACACACCCAGGCACTGCTCAGTGCTGGGAACATGATGACTAAGACATTGTCCTTGTCCTCAGAAACCTCATCCATCAGCAGGAAATCTGACTGTCCCCAGTGAACAAACATGGCATCATTGGACAAGGAAGAAAATAAAACAAAATATGGAGAGTATTATACTTGGAAGAGATTGTGTTTGCTTCCCCAAGGTAAACTTCAAATGAGAGAACATCACAAAAATGATTTGATTAGATGTAAAAAAGCAATCTGGGCTTCAAAATTTATCTTCGAGGGTAGTGGGGCGTTGGAGAAAGGTGAATTCCTAGTCCAGTCTTGGTTTTGCTTATCAATCCATGAGCTATGAAATGCAGGAAAGGAAGCAGACTGTGAGACATTTCCTTGGCTAAAGCCAGGTGCTGGGGTGCACACCTGTAATCTCAGGACTTGCGAGACTGAGGCTGGGGCACCACCTGGGCTGTCGAGCCAGACCCAGTGTAAAGATATATAAACAAGATCTCAGCCAAACTTAAGGAACTCCAGCTTATGTAAGGTACTGTGGGACACAGTACACTCACGGTGGGACAAAGCAGCTTGCCTTCAAGAAGATTATGGTTCATAATGGCCGGGAGCCGGTATGTGGTGAATGTGAACAGCTGCACAAGAACCTGGCGTGTGATGTGGAAGACAGTGACGGATGTGTGAGATGGGAGCGAGGGAGACAGAGAGACAGCCACACAGAGGGACAGACAGACACACAAACAGAGACAGAGACAGACAGACACACAAACAGAGACAGACAGACACATATATACACAGATACACACACACACAGAGACAGACAGACAGGAACTGAAGCAGACACATAAACTCATACATATACACAGAAAGACACAGACACACATACAGACAGACAGACACACACGGACAGACACATATACACACACACAGAGAGAGAGAGAGAGAGAGAGAGAGAGAGAGAGAGAGAGAGAGAGAGGAGAGAGAGAGAGAATATGTATGAGGATGGTCGTGGTTCAGAGAAGGTTGCCACAAAGAGGTTGGGACAACGAAGCTGTGTATGGAAGACTCCTTGGAGCTGCCAAGCTGGAAGAGCTATGGAAAAGTTCCCCGTCTCTGATGACAGGGACTCAAGTCCTGGTGTAGCTAGAACTGCAGCAGCGTCGAGTCCTGTTGTTTTAGCCTCTGAGCTTATGATGTTAGTACCAGCAATGCTAGGAAACTAAGCACCCGGGTCGTTCAGAACAAGGGATCTTAGTTGACCGAGATCTGCTCTATTTACCTAAAAGGTGAGGGGAAACGGCACTCACCGCCCAGGAATATGAGGCCCGAATGAGAGGCCCTCGTCTTCTTTACTTACTGATTCATCTTCTAAGAGGCGGGGATGGAGTGAGCTGGACAGATAAGCTGGGGAGAAGGTGCAGGCTATGTTGAGTTTCGAGCGGGGAAATCAAGTGACTAATCCCAAACAGGGCGTGTCCCTGATGCCGCCTCCGAAGGCTCAAGGGTTGAGGATGTTGGCTGGAAGTGGACGGAGAGATTCACTTCCGGTGAGCGGCAGGACGCCCCTGCCTTGGACTGGAGGACCGAGTGAGGTGGCTTACGCAGGGGAGAGTCCTCAGGTTCAGATGAGGCTCTCTTAGCATGTGCGTGCCTCCTAGAGAGGACACTGAGGGCCCATGGTGATCTCTCACGTGGACCAGCAAAGCCCCGAGGCCTGGTCCCCGCGAGGGCCAGATGACAGCACACAAGGGCACAGGGCAAGATGAAGATAAGGCGTGGCGTGAATGGGCCAAGGGCATGTCTGCACGACCTCACTGGAGTAAGGATGCGGGTTACAGATAGAGGACTGCTTGGAGGACAGGCACAGAAGACCAGGTGCCCCTGGACCTTGGGTGACTGACTGATCCAAACCACAGGAGCAGGGAACTATGTGTAGGGCACCTGTTCTCCTGGTCAGTGGAAGGGAAAGAAATATATACAAACCAAGGACTTAGGTTTTCCATAAAGGAATATATACAGGTGATTCTCTCTCTCTCTCTCTCTGTCTCTCTGTCTCTCTCCTCTCTGTCTCTCTCCTCTCTGTCTCTCTGTCTCTGTCTCTCTGTCTCTCTGTCTCTCTCTCTCTCTCTCTCTCTCTCTCTCTCTCCCCACAGAATAGCTTCACACATCAATGAGTCAACCAGACTCTTATCCCCCTCCACATTTCAATATTTATGTTCCAAAAATGGCTTTCAGTAGCCTAAAGTATTCCAGAGCACACTCAGGACACGGAGCATCTTGGAGAAACGTCCCCTTTCGGAACTTCACCTACTGTTACTTAGGTTTAGTGGGGCAGCGGTCACGTAAGTAAACACTAAGGTTCCCCTGCATCTTTCAGTCTAAAAGGAGTTTAACGTCTGGATTTACCTCCTCTGAGGAAAATCACACTGTGAGAATACTGAGGAGGGTCCACTAGCTTCATCCAGAGACCCCGTGCTGATGGCTGACCTGGAGGAGAAATGGCTCGCTTGCATACGATGTTGCTGGATGCACTTCTGGGGAAATGCGCATCACCAAGGAAGGGCACATCCGTGACTATCAGAAAATGGATGTGGAACAGGCCGAGGAGGCATTCAACTTAAGACATAGGCTTTAACTTGGCTAAAAAAAAAAGCACAGTCAAATATATTTGAAAGCAATCATTTCTTTCTCTGTAAACACTAGACCAAGGAGGTGGGAGTGGAAATCCTATTAAAAAAAAATCCAAAGGAAATTGCTTTGTGATTCATCTGTTTGATTATAAGATGGAGCTGGTGGCCTGCCATAATGTTGTTTCAGTATTTGGAAACGGCTTGTGAGGATCTTGGATTATAGGAGGAACGATCGGGAAAATAGAGTTCCTAGCTGGGCTGGAAAATTAAGAGTAAGTGAAACCATGGCCTCAAGATGTCTTTGGACAAGAACGGCAAACGTCCGAGAATAGTATCAGGAAGGCAGGCGGCCCTGCCATCGGCCCCGCTGCCATTCCATGGGCGCCGAGAAGGGCATATGCTCGCTGTCATGTGTAAATGATCTGAGTCATTGCCAGCAGACTCTGTTGATGAGGATGGGAGCGGCTGATGTTTATTTTGGGCTCTGTCACATGGCAGCACATGTAACTCCCTTGACTCCGAAAGATGACTCAAACTTAGAGGTCGAGAGGACCTTGGCTATGGGCCCCCCACTCCTCTTTATACAAAGAATTATCCCGAATCTGACACCAAGTGGTATTTGCCCCAGGTAACTCAGTAGCCCCGTTTGCTGTAGGTGCCGGATCATCACGGAGACCACGAGAGTATCTTGCCATGTCACCTGGGTGCACGGTTGTCAGGCAGAGGCTCTCTGGTCACTGTGCTTGTAGGTACCACATTCTCTAGACCTCTCTTCCCAGCACACACTAACAGAACTCACTTGTTCCAGGCTTTTGGCTTCTGCCGGGGGGTAAGGGCTGCTTTAGGGAAGCAGTGATGTTTTATATCAAAGAATGCTGGGCTCAGAGTGGGAAGTCCGAGATACCAGCCCCCAGTTTTGCTGTTCATGAAATCTTAACCCATCTACACAGAAGAACAATGTGAACTCCGGGGGTTTTTAAGATGACAGATGGCAAAGAGAGGGCATCTCATTCTCTACAGAGCCATCAACATCCTGGGTACTCGGGATGCTCCAGGACCTGCCTGCACGTCAATTGAGTTGATGATGCTTAAGAGAGAATTCCAGGTGTCTCGCGTGCGTGGGAAGACCCTCGGGTCAGGGGGATCCTTTGATGACCACTTCCAGCATGTCCAGCCTTGCCCAGAATAGAGACAGACACCTCTTTTCGCCTGCATTCACTGGCCTTGATCACTGGCCCTCAGAAGATATAAAGCCAGCTAAAAACATTAGCTGCCAGGAAAATGCTGATGCCACCCCTCCTGGCACCGAGGAAGGGAACTCTTAATCTGATTTTCTTTGTCACGCCCCTGGGAGCCTCCTTCCAGACTGTCAATGAGAGTGCAACTTTTGGTGCTAAAAACAAGGATCTTTGGCTGATTAAAAACCCCATTTTGAGGGTGATTTTGTTTATTCTTCTGCTATTGAGGAGAACAGAGCTTTATCCCATAGATAAATGGGCCCTGGGGCCTCACAGGTGTTTCCGTGAGCAAGACAAGATGTTTGCACAGAACGCAGACACGGTCCGTACACCTGTGTGGTAGAGTGTAGTGGGGCTTTCCTTTGTGTGGCCAGCTCCCAAACAACACAGACTTATTATTAATTATGAAAGCCCAGGCTTAATTTAGGTTGTCCCATTAATTCTTATGACTTAAATTAACCCATATTTTTAAAACTACATTCAATCACATGGCTTTTAAGCTCTCTCCTACTCTGTGTGTTTGACTTTTCCCCATTTCCATGGTGTCTCATGGGGACTTTATTATCCTCTTCCTCTCTGCCTGGAAGTCCTGCCTATCTCTCCTGCTATTGGCCATTCACCATTTTATTACACCAATCACAGTGATATATATTCAAACAGTATACAAATATCCCACAACATTTCCTCCTTCTTATATAAATAAAAGTAAAGGTTTTAATTCTAAAATAGTAAAACTATATACAATAAGAATAATTATCAAATAAAGATTACATTTACAATGTTCAGTTTATTTATTTGGAAAAATTACTCTATTATCTATTTTGTCTCGATGAATATAACATTTTATGCCATACCTAAACTATTTTTATTATAACTTGTATTACCATCCTAAAAATATTCTTTTAGACCTTAAAACAGTTTTTTTAGATAAACAAGTTTTTATGTTTCTTAACCTTATAAACTTTATATCTCTTATGTAAATTATTTTTCTGAATTTGGTAAGTAAAACTGTAACTATATGGTTTTCAACCCCACTGAAGACCTGAGAAGGATCTAATATTACCTGAGTAACAAGAAGTGCAGAGCAAGAAACTTCCAAAACTAAAGACATGACAGACATCTGGCTGCCTGGACAGTCACCCAAGGTTCCCCTGCGATCTTGGGGCATTCACTTTTGGCCTATAGGCCTAGAATATGTGACAGACCTATTTGGGGAAGCAGGATATTTTTTCTTTTTTTAAATTGATTTTATTGAGCTCTACATTTTTCTCTGCTCCCCTCCTTTTACCTCCCCTTCCAACCCTCTTCCATGATCCCCATTCTCCCAATTTACTCAGGAGATCTTGTCTTTTTCTACTTCCCTTGTAGATTAGATCCATATATGTCTCTCTTAGGGTCCTCATTGTTGTCTAGGTTCTCTGGGATTGTGATGTGTAAGCTGGTTATGTTTAAAAACTACTTATGAGTGAGTACATAGGAAAATTGTCTTCCTGGGTCAGGGTGACCTCACTCAATACGATGTTTTCTAGATCCATCCATTTTCCTGCAAAATTCAAGATGCCATTATTTTTTTGCCATTAATGTAGCACTCCAGTGTGTAAATGTACCACATTTTCCTTATCCATTCTTGGGTCAAGGGGCAATTTCGTTTTTTTTTTCTTTTTCTTTTCTTTTTTTTAGGTTCTGGCTATGACAAACAATGCTGCTATGAACATAGTTGAGCACATGTCCTTGTAGTATGATGATCATCCTTTGGGTATATACTCAAAAGTGGTATTGTTGGATCTTGAGGTAGGTTGTTTTCTAATTTTCTGAGAAAAGGCCACACTGATATCCAAAGGGGCTGTACCAGCTTGTACTCCCACCAGCAATGCAGGAGTTTTTACCCCACATCCTCTCCAACATAAGTTGTCATCAGTGTTTTTGATCTCGGCCATTCTTACAGGTGTAAGACGGAATCTCAAAGTTGTTTTGATTTTCATTTCTCTGATGACTAAGGATGTTGATCATTTCCTTAAGTGTCTTTCAGCCATTTTAGATTCCTCTGTTGAGAGGTCTCTATTTAGGTCTGTACCCTATTTTTTATTGGGTTATTTGTTCTTTTGATGACCAATACTTTGAGTTCTTTATATGTTTTAGAGATGTGGGTTAGGTGAAGATCTTTCCCCATTCTGTAGGCTGCCATTTTGTCTTGTTGGTCATGCCCTTTGTTTTACAGAAACTTCTCAGTTTCAGGAGGTCCCATTTATTAATTGTCTCTCTCAGTGTCTGTGCTACAAGGTTATATTGTCATATTTAGGAAGTGGTCTTTTGTGTCAATGCATTCAAGTATACTTTACACTTTCTCTTCTATGAGGTTCAATGGGGTTGGTTTTATGTTGAGGTCTTTGATCCATTTGGACTTGAGTTTTGTGCTTGGCAAAGATGTGGATCTATTTTCATTCTTTGGCATGTTGATATCCAGTTATGCCAGCACCATTTGTTAAATATGCTTTCTTTTTTCCATTTTATATTTTTTGCTTTTTTGTCAAAAACCAGGTGTTCATAGATATGTGGGTTAATATCTGGGTCTTTGATTTGGTTCCATTGATCCTCCTGTCTGTTTTTATGCCAATACCAGGCTGTTTTCAGAACTGTATCTCTGTATTAGAGTTTGAAGTCAGGGGTTGTGATGCCTTCAGAAATTTCTCTATTGTAAAGGATTTTTTTTTTTTTTTTTTTTTTTTTTTTTTTTTTTTTTTTTTTTTTTTTTTTTTTTTTTTTTTTTTTTTTTTGCTTTTCCATATGAAGTTGAGTTCTGTTCTTTGGAGGTCTGTGAAGAAGTTTGCTGGGCTTTTTCTGGGCATTGCATTGAATTTGTAGATTGCTTTTGGTAATATTACCATTTCTACTATGGTAATTCTGTCTACCCAAGAGCATGGGAGATCTTTCAATTTTCTGGTGTTTTCTTCAATTTCTTTCTTCAAAGATTTAAAGTTCTTGTCATACAGGTCTTCTACTTGCTTGGTTAAAGTTATTCCAAGATATTTTATGTTATCGGTGGCTATTGTGAAGAGTGATGTTTCTCTGATTTCTTTCTCAGACCGTTTACCATCTGTATAAAGGAGGGCTACTGATTTTTTTGAGTTAATCTTGTATCCTGCTACATTACTGAAAGTGTTTATGAGTTGTAGAAGTTCCTTGGTAGAATTTTTGGAGTTGTTTATGTAAACTATCATATCATCAGCAAAAAGGGAGAGTTTGATTTCTTCTTTTCTGATTTGTATCCCCTTGATCTCCTTTTGTTGTCTTACTGCTCTAGCTAGATCCTCAAGTATTATATTGAATAGCTACTGAGTGGACAACCTTGTCTTCTTCCCGATTTCAGTGGGATTGCTTTGAGTTTCTCCCCATTTAGTTTGATGTTGTCTATTGGCTTGCTGTATATTGACATTATTATGTGTAGATATGTTGCTTGTTCTCCTTGCTCTCTCTAAGACCTCTATCATGAAGGGATGTTGTATTTTTTCGAAGGCTTTTTCATCATCTAATGAGACAATCATGGGGTTTTCAGTTAGTTTATATGGTGAATTACATTACAGATTTTCATATGTTGAACCACCCATGGCTCTCTGGGATAAAGCCTACTTCGTCATGGTGAATGATTTTACTGATGTGTTCTTGGATTTCATTTGCCAGTGTTTTATTTAGTATTTTTGCATCAATGTTCATGGGTGAGATTAGTCTGTAATTCTCATTCTTAGTAATGTTTTTGTGTGTCTTGGGTATCAGGGTAATTGCAACCTCATAAGAAGAGGTTGG